AGCTTGTTCTAAGTAGGTGCTTTAGACCACTGAGACACCTCACCAGCCCCATGTGGGGATGGTTTATTTAGCATATATATATATACATATATATGTATATATAGCTACTTGCTGATTTTCATTTATTGTGTGAATGTCTAGAACTAAAACTTCGCAATAAGTGAGGGACCGTATAATCCCAGCCCTCTGCAGGCTAAGGTAGGAGGACTGTCTCAAGTTTGAGGCCAGCCTGGGCTACATATTGAGTTCAAATCCATGAATACTGCATATCCAAAAAAAAAAAAAATACTGCATATTGAAAATAGTAAGAAATTTAAACTCCCCTGGGTGGTTTCAGGGCCTCCTTGATCTGGCCTCTCACCTCTCCAATACCTCCTCAGTATTTTCCGGACCCTCTTGCCCTCTCTACTCTTTGCACTGTTCCCTCAACACCCCTTCCAGCTACAGGAAAGGCTGGGAGAACTGGTTCTGCTCTGACCGCAGGGCCTTTGTTGGTGCTGTTTCCTCAGTGGAGATGACCTGCTTTCATTTTTAAGTCGAGGCCTACTTGTGATGCTGTCTAAGTTTAGACTTTATCTAATGAGCAAAACTTCCCAGACATACTTAGATATCTCCAACAGCACCATGTACCTACGGAGTCTCCATCATGACCCTCAGAGGCAGTCTGGGGAGAGGAGGGAGGGAGAGCAGCTATGGAGAAGCAGGGTGTGTGAGAATGAGAGAGCTGCGTGGCTGGAAGATCCCGGAGTGAGGAGCGCTGCCTGTCGTCGGTTGCAGACTGGCTGATCCTGCAGGTGCCCTACACTGCGGTGTTCGAGGGCGAGCCGCTGATCATGCGCTGCCGCGGCTGGTACGACAAGGTGGTCTACAAGCTGCACTATTACCACGATGGCCAGGCGGTGCGCTATTTCCACTCGAGCACCAATTATACGGTGTTGCAGGCGCGCGCCAGCGACAGTGGACGCTACCAGTGCTCTGGCACCATGCGCATCCCGGTGGAGAGCGCGCCCATGTTCTCGGCCAAGGTGGCCGTGACCGTGCAAGGTAGGGAAGATCTGGGGACTCCGAGTGCTGGGAAACTATGGTACCCGAACCAGACGCGCCGGGGCGGGGTGGGGTGGGGGTGGGGTAAGGTAGGGTGGGGATGGGGAGGGACGGGGCGCTGAGATTCGAGTAGCGGCTACTTGGCAAATTTCTCTGCAGGGAGGAGCGCTTTCCCAGCAGCCGGCTCGGGTCCCTTTCCCACAACACGCACCTGGGCATCTTGTTGGGGGCGGGGGTGCATAGGAAGGCAGCTCAGACCACAGTCCTAGTCAAAAGGGCGGCCTCAGTGGTGGTTTGGGATGGTGGTGAGGGACCAGTTTTCCAGCGCCCCCCTTCTAGGTTAAGGTTCTGAGCTGGGCCCGATCAACTAGGATGGCAGGTGTGGCACCTGGCTTGGTTCTGCCTTCCTTCACACTGTCCCGATCTCAGTTGGACGTGGTCCCGGGCCCCATATTTCCAAAGGGTTTCCTCCCTCCTTCTACGTGCATGCAGCCGCTTCCCCTCTCCCTCTTCAAGTCTCCAGGTGGGCGCGGAGCCCTGGGGTGGGGGGAGGGAGCGAGAGGGAAGGGCAAGAGAAGGGTCTTGTGGCCCTCCTGGCCGCCCCTTGTGCTAACCCAATAGGCGTCCTCCGCTTTTTTTTTTTTTTTTTTTTTTTTTCGGAACCGGGGATTGAACTCAGATCCTTGCGTTTGCCAGTCAGTCCTCGGCCTTTGTGATCTCTCCACAGAGCTGTTCCAGACCCCCGTGCTAAGGGTGCTGCGCCCACACGAGGTCCGCGGCTCCGCGCCCCGTGGGGTGGCCCTGCGCTGTGAGACGCGCTTGCACCCGCAGAAGCGCGACACTCCCCTGCAGTTCGCCTTCTACAAGTACAGTCGCCCCGTGCGCCGCTTCGACTGGGCCCCCGAGTACTCGGTCCCGGAGCCCGAGGTCGAGGAGCTCGAAGCCTACTGGTGCGAGGCGGCCACCTCGACCCGCAGCGTCAGAAAGCGCAGCCCGTGGCTGCAGTTGCCGGGGCAGGGTGAGTGACGGCAGACCTCTCGACAACCATCCCGCTCTGATCTGGACCCCTGTCCCTTCCCTGCTCCCCGCCCCAGACCCTACTCTCCCCAATTCTCGGGTCCTTTTCCTCTCCCTTCCCCGCTTCGAAGCACGAAAATCTGACGTGTCTATTCACAGGCTCTCCCTTGGAGCTGGCGTCCACCTCTGTCTCGGATCCCCAGGGTGCCGCCTTGGCGCCAGGTAACAAGCCGCTTTCCTTCAGAAAGCCCCCAGTGTCCAGGTCGGTCCCGCTGGTCACCTCTGTCCCAAATGCCACCTCAATGGGGCTACAGTTCCCGGCCGGCCACAGCGCTCCCACTGCTGGGCCGCCCGCCTGCGCTCCGCCCACGCCTACAGGACAGTCCGCAGGAGCGCTGAAACCCGACGTGCACCTTCTCCTCCGAGAAATGCAGCTGCTCAAAGGTCTTCTGAGCCGGGTGGTCCTGGAATTAAAGGAGCCACAGGCTCTGTCGGAGCTCACAGGATCCCCGAAAACTACCACTTCCCACTTGGCTGTGAGCCCAGGGACCCCAGAGAGCACTTCAGTGGAGGCCTGAAGGGCGGCCTCGGTCTTCCTCTGGGACGGCCGCCGCTCAGCAAAGACCTTTCAGAGCCATCTCTGTCCTTGTTTTGCTGTGATTATAAAAGAAGCACTCATACAGCCCCGGGGGCTGAGATTCGACCTTCACACAGCAGCTTGTAAGCACAAGCATTCTCCCTCAAGTGTTTCTTCTCCCAGAGTTTTCAGTAGAGAAACAGAAATTTGTTCTTTAGAATTGTGGGGATTACAGTTTGGAACTTAATTCAGTCATCCGTAGTCATGGTTACATAAGCCTAGCAAGTCTGTCTTTCGGCATGAGTAATTTTTTTGTTATTAAATTCATTGAGGTCACTGAACACTAGAAAATTTTAGCGTCATGTTCTAATTGCTCATAATGAATTTACTCTTTTGTTAATATTAAAAAGACTGCCCTATTATTGACGAGTTCATATCTTCTAAGTCCTGGGTTCTATTTAGTATTGGCCTCCCATTCCTGAGCCATAAGGCTCATAATTCAGTTAGGCTTGGGCAGATGCACCCCTGCCCTATGCCACCAGATGGTGGGCTCTGGGACCAGCCCATTCCAACCATAGTGAAAATTGAAAGAAGTCTATCATTTGCATTCAGAAATCTCTTTGATCAAAGTTTAAGATGAATCTCAATACTGCTGAATTATTTTTAGCAACATCTTTTAAAAAAATTTTTATTTATTTATTTATATGTGTGTGTGTGTGTGTATATGGCCAGCTCAGCCCACCTGGGGGTGGGGCTGGCTGGCATGTGGTGCTGGGAGATTGAACCGTGGTCCCTGTGCTTTGCTAAGCTTGTTCTAAGTAGGTGCTTTAGACCACTGAGCCATCTCACCAGCCCTTTAGCAACATCTTTAAAAACATTCATACATTACCACACACCCTCATGAACATAGTAGAGATCCAAAACATCCTGTGTGGAGACATTACTGGGAAACAAAAGAAGAAAAGTGAGACCATCTCAGTTCCAAATTCCAGTTTGCTTCCCGAAAATCCAATTTCCATGGGTTCTCATGTGCCTACTGGAGTCCTGGGCTTCTTGTAGGACTGTACGATTTGTTCTCAGATTTCATTGTCTTTAAGTCCATACACATTTTTTTTCTTTTTTAGCGGAACTGAGGATTGAACTCAGGCCCTTGCACTTGCCAGGCAAGCGCTTATTTTACTGAGCTATCTCCCTGGCCCCACATACCCTTTTTTAAGTTAAATTTCACTGCCAAGCTTCAGAATTAATAACTATACCCTCCTCTTCTTTACTTCTGCTAGTCAGTTTGCTGCACCCCATTTTGCCTTTTTCTCCTTCCCTCATCTTTTCTGCACTATGAATGGAACCCAAGCTTTCTGGTTGATCTACATCCTCAGATCTCTCTCTCTCTCTCTCTCTCTCTCTCTCTCTCTCTCTCTCTCTCTCTCTCTGGTCTTGAACTCACTATGTAGCCCACATTGGCCTCTTGGTGATCTTCCTGCCTCAGCCTCCTCCTAAAGGCCAGGATTATAGGTGTGTGGCACCACACCTGATCCTGATCTTTTTGTTTCTAAATTGCCCAGAATGGGCTTTAAAGTGTGATCCTCCTGCCTCAGCCTCCCATAGTGATGGGTTACAGCATGCACCAACCATGCCTGTCTCCTGGGTGACTAACCAGAATAATATCAACAGTCCTCACCACATTCTTCTTCGTATTAGACTGCACTGCTGTATTACAAGTCACTGTAGTCACATAGGGAGTAGGCAGGTGCACAGGCAAACTATACTGCAATGTGATAAATGCTCAGTGTAACATTATAGAAATTCAGAAAAGGAAGATCAGAATTTACCAAGCAGAGATGTGAGAAAGACTGAGTTGTAGATGCAAAGGCACAGAGACATGAAACTAGTGCGTTTGTGGAGCTGCAAACGTTTGGGATGCTTGGAGACGTATGTGTCTTTATGTAGGGGGGGAAGGTTATATTTTAGAGGAGGCAGAGGTGAATGTGCAGAAGTAGGAAGAGACCAGAACTTGAAGGTCTTTGATAAGTACTTTAGCCTCTTAGCTATTTTGGGAGCCTGATACAAGGGCATTGTTATGGCTTACTGGAAGAGTAGTCAATGTAAAATTAGATTTTTTTTTTTGGCGGAACTGGGGATTGAACTCAGGCCATTGAGCTTGTCAGGGAAGTGCTTATTCCACTGAGCCATCTCCCCAGCCCAGTCAATATAAAAGAGTGAAATAAACTGATCTTAGTAGACACTGGCTTATTTCTGAGAAGCACGTCCAGGCCCCGTAGTAGGTATGTGGCACCAATTTCCAGCTTTCTTATTTCATTTGCCAGAGCTCTCTTCCCTGCAGCCTTCACTGGCTAACTGCACTCTATGCCAATGTGCAGGCTCTTTCATCCTTCTGAATTTGGGATTCTGTTCACCCGAGGAGCCTGCCAACCCCATGCTACACAGGAAGGGACTAGCATTAGGGCCAAGATGCTCAGTAGCAAACATATCTCCTGTCAATTGAAAAAAATCAGCCAATCATTTTTTAAGAACAAAAATTAAATGACCATTCAGAAGAGGGCCAGTGTATCAGTTTCTCCTGAATTATTCGTTGGTGGTGGCCGTAGTGTTCTCCTTCCTACCTCGCCACCTGTCCCTATTTACAACTAGGATGTGGGGGTGGGAGAGAGCAAGAACTTTTTGGTAAGAATGAAACTTGTTCATGGCCAAACTTTCTTGTGCGGGAGAGGAAAAGTGACTTAGATTCTCTGGGTTTCACTGTGTTTAAGTCCCTCAAGTCTCCTACATGGAGATAGAACTAAATTCATTCTATGGGATGTATGTTAATAGTCTCCCAGGAAGATATGCTGTAAGGAAACAGCATCTGAACCGCAACTCTGTCCCCATGCATAATGTTAAGCCATAAGAGCCAAGCTACTTGGCTTTCAATTCAGAGGTGGCTGAGTATAGGGTTAAGAATCCTAGCTCAGGAGTCTAGAGATTTAGGTTCAGATGTTACTTTTGCTACTTACTAGCTGTGTAGCCTTGGTAGATACATTATGTGGAACTTGTGCCCTCATCTTTAAAACGGAATATATAACCATTATGAAAATCAGTGTGGAGAGTCCTCAAAAATTGCAATTAAGAATTCCACTTGATCCAGCTATTTCACTTCTAGGTATCTCCCTGAAAAAGATAAAGACATCACATTTTAGTGAAACATGCATAGTCATATTTATAGCAGCACAATTCATAATAGCTAAACCTTGGCAGCAGCCTAGATGTCCATCAAAAGAATGGATAAAGAAAATGTGGTATTTATACAAAGTGGAATACCACTCTGCCATAAAGATACACTCGTGTCACTTGTAGGAAAATGGATACATCTTTTTTTTTTTTTTTTTTAATGTATTTAGTACAGGGCCTACAGGGTCTCACTACACAGATTGGACTCGTAGTGATAGCGATCCTCCTGTTTTCAGTCTCCCAAGCGCTGGGACTACAGGCGTATGCCACTATGCCCAGTTTCATTTGCTGTCTCAGCGCAGGGGCCAGCACGCCTCTGCCTAAACAAGCGCTTTAATCTCCTGATCTATCTGGCCAGCCCTAAAAAATGGATACATCTTGAGACCATAATGTAAGCTGAAGTAAATCAGATACATAATTTCATTTTTTTTTAAAGAGCACAAATGCATTCTTATTTTTCCAATAGTTTAAATTCTTGAGGGGTACAGCATCACACAGAGTCAGTGTCTGATGGCCTTAGCAGGAAGGTTGCTTTGAAACTTGGCACAAACCATGCCATTGTTTCCATGGGCCTGAGTTATCTTTCACCAGACCACTCTGGTTTTGTTTGGTTTGCCACCTCGAGTTAGTCACTGTGTTGTTTTTCACTTTGTACACATAAGCACATCTCTTGCCTAAATAGAATTCAGTTTCAACCCGGGCATAAACACCTTCAATTAGCAACCGGGTTTCACCCCTGCCTGCCATGCGAGCCCCTTCCCCAGGGCACACTGAGACAGCGCTTGAGACTGGGCGTGGTGGCGCTTGTAATCCCAGCGCTTGGGAAGCTGAAAACAGGAGAATCACTATGAGTCAGATCCGTGTGGTGAGACCCCATAGATCCTGTAGACCCTGTCCTAAATACAAAAAACAAAAACAAATAAAAACCACCTTCAATTTTAAGAATAGCTGTGTGTTCCCTCTGGTTCTGGAGACTAAGGCACTAAGGGAGGAAAACAATGGCCAAGTAACTACACAGTGTCTCCTAGGCTTACTGAGCAATAGACATAAAAATAACACATCATTCTGAATTATGCATAACAGGGAGAATTGGCTAAGGTGGTCATAAAACTTTTTCTTTAGTACTGAAGATTTCCCCTGGGCTGGATCCCCAGCTCTTTTTTTTCCTTTTGGCAGAGCTGGGGATTGAACTGAGGTCCTTGCGCTTGCCAGGAAGCACTTATTCTACTGGGACATCTCCCCAGCCCCTTTCCCAGTTCTTTTATTCCAGCAGGGTCTCACTAAATTGCTCTGACTGGATTTGAACTTGATCCACTTGCCTCAGGTTCCCAGGATGCAGAGGTTACAGGCATGAACCACCATATTTGACTTCCTAAAACTTTTTTACATTCAGAATCTCATTTTTCTGACTCAGTTTTTGACTCAGATTTATTCAATATCCATGTTTTTTTACTTTCTGTTCTTTGAAGATTATTTTATAAAAGAAGCCACGAAAACACACGTTACAGCTCTTGGAGCCGACTTCTCAACTGGCTTGGCGCTGACCTACAGCCTGCTTCCTTCTGACTTTGGCTTTAGCAGCCTCACTGAATCCATCTGCTCCCAGTAACTGATTCACTTTTATTTTATTTTATTTATTTATTTATTTATTTATTTATTTATTATTATTATTTATTTTATTTTATTTTATTTTTTTTTTTGGCAGAACCGGGGATTGAACTCAGATCCTTGCATTTGCCAGTCAAGCGCTTATCCTACTGAGCCATCTCCCCGGCCCCAGATGCTTCACTTTTAGTGAGAAATCTCTTTTCAGCTGGCCAGAGCCTGCTATAAATGTTGATGGTAGCAGTTCA